AGCTCATAAAATGGTCGCAGCTAAACGCTTGACTATCACAGTATATTTATCAACGCCGTTTCATAAACTCGATAAGGTAAAGATCTCTTCAAGGTCTCATGAGGAATGATTAACGCCTCCCAAAATCAAGGGTTATGTTCCCTCCTTATCTTTACAGTACGTGGAGATAAGACTTGCAACTGGGAACAAGCATTTTTTTTTTTTTTCTCTCTCTCTTTTCTTTTCCTGTTCATATAGTTGTTTCACAAATTCGGATATCAATTTTCATTTGTTTTCTAGTCACTTCTTTCGGTATTATTTGTAGCATACATTTCTCATTTATAGCCCCTTTCTGCTCATCTTGTCTCTCTCTTCCTTTTCTCTTTCCTTTTCTCCCTCCTGTCTGATGTCTGTCGGTCTCTCTCTCCTCGACCCTCTCACTATGTCTTTCTTTCCCCCCCCCCCCCTCCTTCTCCCCTCTACCTCTGCCTCTTCTCGCCTTCCCTCTTCGCATGTGTATGTGTTTGTGTGCGTGAGTGTGTGTGCGTGTGTTTGTGTGTGTGTGTGTGTGTGTTTTGTGTGTTTGTGTGTGTCCGGAGTAACGCCAACACCAGCAACACCACTGCCGATGCAACACCAGAAGCCATGAGGGTGACTTGCAATCTCGAGTAGTTTTAAATATTCAAATGATGATACAGACAATAAGAATCGATTTATATATATATATATATATATATATATATATATATATATATATATATAAACAATATATATAGATAGATAGATAGATAGATAGATAGATATATTGTCTCACACGTGTTCTTTTTTTTTTTTTTTTTTTTAGAGAGAGAGAGAGAATGTTACAGTGTTGTTGAGAACTGTCATTTCGGTATTGTGTTCTCGTCCTTACGTGGGTCACACCATGTCAGATCTTCGCCCTTATGGAGTACTGTCATATTAGTTATTTTCGCGTGACCTAATACACGCCGGAAGGGGCGATACAGGCGTTCACAAAAGCTTTTGGTGAAAATGAATGACTTTGGTAATCACGTGATAGTCATGATCAAAGTAAGAACGATGATCATGCTAATACTACTGCATCATTCAAACGCTTTATTTGCCTTAAAATCTACATTGGAACAGAAAATATTCAAAAGAAATGAAAATAAGGGACTGGATTATATATTGGTTTTACAACTACACAAAGCTTATAAGAGGGAATCGAGATGTTAAATCATCAATCTGACTGAACTTTATTGGTCTTAGTGGATCAATGCATATGGTAAACATAACAGTTCGGTGATATTCTTTGAGAATATCGAGTAAATTATACAAATAACTATGTATCTAGCTACATCTGATATCACACGGTGCACTCTCATTGGCTAAACGTGGTCATACAAAATGTGTATGATATTTTATGATTAGTTTTTTCAATGTATTTTCTTTGAAAATGGTTGACTAATGAAAATGGTAAAATAATATTGAAAAAAAGAAACCAAAAATTATAGAAATAAAGCAAATATCAAATATTTGATGAAGTTGCCAACTAGGATTATCAGAAAGATGGAGTAGCTGCACCAATCTAAATATTCCTTGGTTGCACTAGAAAACCTATTCTTTTTTTTTTTCTTTTCTTTTCTTTTTTACGCGTTATTGTGGGAAGTGCTCTTCTAATGCCAAGTCTCGATTTTTTGTCATAATGAATTTAGAGCTTGGAAGTTTACGTAAACCTGAATCTAGATCAGATTAAACATTCTCAAAGAATATCACCGAACTGTTATGTTTACCATATGCATTGATCCACTAAGACCAATAAAGTTCAGTCAGATTGATGATTTAACATCTCGATTCCCTCTTATAAGCTTGTGTAGTTGTAAAACCAATATATAATCCAGTCCCTTATTTTCATTTCTTTTGAATATTTTCTGTTCCGATGTAGATTTTAAGACAAATAAAGCGTTTGAATAAGACCTGTCCATCCCTCTCTCTCTCTCTCTTCTCTCTCTCTCTCTCTCTCTCTCTCCTCTCTCTCTCTCTCTCTCTCTCTCTCTCTCTCTCTCTCTCTCCCCTCTCTCTCTCTCCTCTCTCTCTCTCATGGAAATCAGACACACTGCTGGTGGACTGCAACCCATATCCGTATTTGGTCATGCCGTGACTTTCGTGATTTTACTGTCCTTTGGTCATTCGATAATTCCATTTTCCGTTTTTACAATATGCATATAATATGATGAGTTCGGTTTAACTGTTGATGAATACACCTTTTCCGTAGTCCTGCTAGTGATGGGAAGGAAAAGGTAGAAACAGAGCTCGAGATCTATGTAATGAACATTATAATAAACGTATCAAATGCTTTATACAGTATATTCATTCTCCATAACAACTGAACAATATATGTGTATGCGTGCGTGTACACACACACACACACACACACACACACACACACACACACACACACACACACAAACACACACACACACACACACACACACACACACACACACACACACACACACACACA